TATATATATATATATGTATATATATAGAATTAATATATAAAATGATTACATATAAAATAAATGCAAATAAAAGTTTTTTTTTTCATAATACTAAAAGACAATAATACCTGAGAGAAGTTCGGAACACTTGCAGTCTTACGCATCAGTGGTTGTCCCTGTGCTTGCAACAATTCTTTTATAGCGACACTTTGTCGTAATCGGTCTAATGTTAATATACTTTCAACCGCGGATACACCACGAGTATATTTTTCTATATAAATAATAGGAAAAATTAATACGATGATACTTTTTAAAAAGCACTTCCAAGCTAATATTAATCTAATTTTGTAACCTACCTATGTAAGTTTCTCCGTCACATAAACTATTATCTTCTCCGCTAGCAGCAATCTGTGCCAAACTCTCACGATCTTCCAGCTCTTCGCTTGCCTTTGGTATGTTTGAGACTACCTCGTAAGTGACACCAGTTTGCGCCAAGCAATCATTACGAACAATTCTCTTGAAGATTCTATCTGTAATGCTTTGCCTTTTGTATATGTTTAAAGCTAATCTTTTACGCAGCACAAGATCCATTGGTGCTGGATGCGACAGGCGAACAGTAGTTTTCAAGATTAAAAACACTCTTTCATTCGCTAAAAACATGCGGCATGTTAGTAACAAATCACTAATTTCTTGGAAAAACGTAAAGGATAATTACCGGTATCAGTTACTCTATTGAGATGTACGTTGTCGTGTATACTAGAATCCCAAGCGGCAATGGCACATACATCTTTTTCTAAATGTCGAATAATAGGTAGATTATAGAATTTGTTACCATGTTCTTTAGGTAGGATTGAATTTAATCCTGTCACTGATACTTCCTCTCCCGACTGATGCGTTGAGAGATCATCGGCTATATAATATTTAGTCAAAGTAAATGCATTAATAAACAGAACATGGACATTGATAACATAGATATTAAAATATTTTTTTTACAATACCATTGAGATCAAGAAATAATACAGGAATGTGTGGCTCCATCCCTGCAGGAGGAATCCAGTCGGCAGGAGCACCGGGAATACCTGAACCCGCCGCGGGAACCAGAACAGCGTTTCGTTCCTCTGTGAGACTGACCCATTGATCCACAAGACTTTGTTCTCGCTCCATATCTTGTTCCGTTTTATCTGTAAACATAAGAAATTAATGTACAAAGAAGACAAAGTGACCAATTAATAGACTGTACATATATAGAATGTTAATTAAAATTTTCGTCGCTGAGAAATAATTTCGTTACCTTGCTTATTGATAAGTTTCTGAATTTGTTGATCAAGATATTGTCGTCTTCTCATTAGAGCATCGCTCCACTTGTCTCTCAATATACTCAAGTCCTCGTCTTGATAACTATCTAATGGAATTTGCAATCGGTTTCGCACTGAAACACTCCCAACGGCTATGTTTAATATCGATTGACAGATGATCGGTAAGGTTCCGGAATTTTGTACTGGTTTCACTCGAACTTGTATTCGACGTTGTTGGCCTTGTCGAAGTTGATAAATACCACCTATAAAAAGAAACGAAAAGACGTACAATTATTTAAAAATAAATAATAACTAAAAAATGTTTTTCAAAGAATAAGTACCTATATTAAAATCTAATTAATAATTTTCGATTGTAGCGAGTTGCGTCAATCTGAGTTGGATTAATGATGTTGTATGCTCTACTATTGGCAGAACATATAACATCATATAGTACACTATCATATACAGCACTTATAGTAGAGCACCTATAGTAGAGCATTAATCTAATCCAGATCGGTGCAAACTCGCTACAGTCGAAAACTCTCTATAAATAAGAGAATTTCTATATTCGGATTCAAAAATCAAATATAAATAAACAAATTGAATTTGATCCAAATTCGTATTATATTATATTACAATTGTTCTTCTCACCTGTACATGTGTCTTGTTTTACTGCAACTTCAACGGGTGAGTATTCTCCCTGTTCGTTTAGTTCTTGTATCTCTACCCATAATTCAATTTTTCGCGTTAATTCAGACCATCGGTCTGCGAGCGATCTAGCTTTCGCTAATTGTTGCTGTTCCACTTCCCATCCAGGTTTACTACGTGAAAAACCTGCGCTGCGATGACCCCATACTTCTATACTCAACGCTCCTTCTACAAGAAAATACGATAAATAAGCGTAAATAATATAATAATACAAGAACTGTGTTCTATTATTATTTATTAAAAAATAATGCACAGATAAAAGCACAATAAATTCTTACCAGCGGCATGTTCCATAAACTCTTCCGTAATGGGTACAGTAAAATCTTTTGTATCATCAAACTTAAATGTCAAGGAATCCCTTTGACCAGTGATGCAATTCGAGTTCGGCAGCTCCGCGTTTATCATAGGCGGAACCACTATCGGTTCTGGATGATTCCAAAACATGTATTGACAAAACACAAAATGACTTAACGAGAGTGGTAATCCAGTGGCCTGCTTTATCGTCACACGACAGGTAATATGGCTAGATCCTCCGGAATAATCCTCCGCTTCGGAGGACGTCGAATCCGAGGAAGACTCCGAAGCAGCCTCGCAAATCCGATCTTGAGGAAATTGCCCAGATATACGACTTATTTCGACCTGTAATCGACCAGCAACTTCTCCTTGCTGACTAATAATCGGAGTATGATAATCTAATCGTACGTCGTGGAATAATACTTCTAAGAAAATATTTGCAACTCCGATAAGATTGTGGTTTTCTTGGGATTCATAAAATGGGTCTTGTGTTTTTCCTGGTACTTCATCCTGTAAGAAAATAATTTCGTACACAATGTTAAAGTAATACATAGACATTTTAAAGGTAAAAAGTATATACCTTAATCACAGGTAATCGTTGACAATTGTGAGGATCTTTTCTTTCCTCATACATGTCTCGCATATCAACTAATTTATTTTCTAGCTTTTCCATGGACCAAACTTGACTTCCCATATTTGTCCTCTTCACTAAAATTGCAGGCTCACTGACAAACGCGCCCCGCTGAAAGAATACACTCTACATATCGAAGAGTGCGAAAAAATAAACAAAAAATATATAAATTAACAAAACATAAAAAAACAAAATGTAAAATATAAAAGAAAAATAAAGTTAGGAAAAAAATTCATATAAAAATATAATGTATAATTATAATATTAGAAATATAGTAAGTGAAAACTTATAAATTATTATGAATAATAGTAAGACTTATAAATAAAAAACTTATATGTATAAGTGACTAATTATATGATTATTAATTATTATAATAAATCAAATAAATTTGTAAACTGATAAGTTTAAAATTTTACATAAAGCACAATAAAGACACAATATAAAAACGTTATAAAGCAATCTCTTGTTGCTTTACCTTCCTATTCGGACTTAGATTATTCGGAGGAATCTGTAGGGTGACGCTAAATTTCGTCTGTTTGCCCATCTCTTCCGCTAGAACATTAGCTTCTTGTACCAATGCATTAGCCTTTAGGATATCTGTCTTCAATTGGCCCAAACTGCGCTTGAACATTTCGTCTCGTTCCTGAGCCCACTTTTCAACGCGCATTTGCGTCGTTGGTGTGCAAGCCGGGAGTTTTCCACTTTGACTACCTCTTAGAGGATCGTACGGTACATAAGGCGAATACGGCGTAGACGGAGATAGTATATTGCGTAATTGTTGAAACTGTCGTTCATACTCCTGCCTCTGCTTCTCGAGCGCAACCTTTGGAACATGCGCGTAATAAGTAAATACAACATGAAAATGTTATTATGATACTTAAAACAACATATACCTGCTTATCTTCTTCGTGTTGCTTCTCTAGTCTCGCTATAGCTCTTTGAATCGGATCATTAGACAGTTCGTTAAGCATAAGCTCTTCTCTGGCAAAATTGTAGTCGATGTTTTGAGCGGGAGTTTGCGGTTCGCTATTGATTGCTGTAGACAGAAGAATGATACAGACAATATAATGTGCGTTACTCCCAATTATTTCGTAAAATATGTCATTACATTACAAGCTTTATCTTGAAATAAATATATTAAATCGAATTGCGCGCACCTGTAGCACTTCTTGGACAGTTAACTCTGAAGAAATGATGATTTCCCCAAACGATTCTATCGCCATGTTGTAGCAGAGTTTTGTTTACAACTTGTGTACCGTTGACGAAACATCGAGCACCATTTAATGGTATCATATACAGGCCTGATTCTTCTATCGTGATAACACAATGTTCTGGTAAAATACCCAAACCGTGCAATTGAATATCTTGTTCCCTTTTGGCTGAACGTCCGCCTACGAGTGTCCTTTCCTGAAACACAGAGATATGCGATACAAAGATAAGTGATGCAAATGGAGAAATTTAGTCACCAAGCAACATGTATAATGACACGTACATACCTTGAGATAATAAACCAATAACTCGTTCAAACTTGGATCATCATTCAAATTAACCAGGTAGTATTTGCTCTTTTCTACTTGAATACCAGACGCTTGTACGCTTATTCCCATCTTTTCTAAAGCCTGCTGCCTCTCGTGTTGCAGCCTCTCGGTTTTCACAAGCTTTTCTTCCCACGTCTGTGACATTTCCTTCATCAATCGTTCCGATTCTGACAGTTTTTCTGTAATGTCTGTACGTTGTTGGCCAACAATCGATCCCTGATTGAAAAAATCAAATTGTAGTGTTTACGCGCGATTATTTTGACACAAGTAGGTATATTATTATAAATAAATAAAATAAAATAAGAAAGGTTCTCTTACTGTGGCATGTAACAACATTTCCTTTAAGGTTTCAACTTCTTGTCTGAGTTCGCGAATAATTCTAGCATTTGGATCTTCATTAACTACAGCATGATTGACTATCCTCTTCGCTCTATCAGCATATCGAAGAGTTGATAGCGTTTCCTCGTAATTGTCGGCAGCCGGTGATATTGTGGCTACCATGACAGTTTTACTATTGCCGCCAAGATTATCCTAAAAATGTTGACGAATATTAGTATGAAAGTATATCTTAAAGTACAGTGTCAAATGAGAAAGTTAATATACTTTCAAGAGCCACGTAAGGACAGAATCTCTATAGGGTACGAAATTGTCCTTCTTCTTGTTGCTGCCGGAATTTTGATCCGCCAACTTTGAA